CGGGGCACCGTGCAGGACCCAAGCAGGTTAAAAGGATCGCAAGGCAGCACATCGCTAAAGCCAAAACCTCTGTCAGTCCCGTGGATTGTTAGTGAGGCGTGTTTTGGATTCTGAAACAGCAAGAGAAGCAGGGGAGAGAGAGCCTACTGGACTTCAACCCTCAAAGCCCGTCCTGTACTTTGTGAAACCGAGCCCAATCTAATCATCTGGTGTTTGTTGTCCCGTCTCGCAGGGATCTGCCTCTGGGAACGCAGCCGGGGGGAAGTAATTTACAGGTAAAGAAGCAGAGACATTTTTTCTTGATGTAAAATATCTCTGAGAGAGGAAGCGTGGTCCAGTGGTTAGGGTGCGAGGCTGGGACTTGGGAGACCTGCTCTACAACGGGATCTGGGCAAGTCACACCCAGGTCCTCACATCACTATTAATCCTGCCCCTTCCAGGAAATCCCGAGTCCAGCTCTCCTTGGGTTCAGCCCAGCTTATGGGGCATGAGGCTGCCAGTCCTTGGTGGGCCAGGCCTGCCCTCTGCTCTGGGTTCCCCACAGGTCCCCATTAACCCTTTCCTGGTCAGCGTGGGGCCTGTACCCTATCACGGGCTCCTCACATCCATGGAAATCAATGGGAATTAGGCACTGTGGTGGGATATCTCTGTCGCCAGCCCCAACCCTTGCCCCCCAGCCATGGACACTGCTACAGATTCACAGTCCCAGTCTTGAGTGGGGGACATATGGGGAGTGGTCCTGGCCGATCCCAGTCTCTGGGGTGGGGGGAGGTCCCGGCCACTCTCTCATCTGGAACTGGCCCTTGGGGATGGGAAAGGAGCTGATTGAAGGTGTTAGTGTCCAGCATGGCCTGGAGCAGGGTCAGCAGCTCCTCCTGGGGCTCCGGCCCCTGACGCACCCCCACACACTTCCTCTCCCTCTTCTGTGCCCAGCCCGCTCTGGGAGGAGAGGCAGCAGCTCACAGCAATACAAAGATAGGGAATCCCTTGCACACACCCACACACACTGCTTGGGCCCCTCCTTCGGACAATTCTGGTTCTGCTTCTGCCCTCCACACTGGCAGAGAAAGAGTTAACGGAGCCAGAGAGCAATCAGTGCACCCGGTGGGCAGGTCCCTTTTAGGATTAGTTCCAGCTGAGGTAGGGTGACCATCCGTCCCCTTTTTTAAAGGGACAGTCCCATTTTTGGGGACTTTACAGGTGCCTGTTACCTTCCACCCCCGTCCCGTTTTTTCACAGTTGCTATCTGGTAACCCTAAGCTGAGGGCTGTATTAGGGGTGGGTCCCAAGGGAGTGGAGGAAGGACAGAAGGGCAGGAGGAGGGAGCTGGCCAGGCAAAGAGAAGCTGCAGGAGTGGAGTGAGCTTGGAAAGGACCAGACCCAGGGAGGCAGGTTCTGACCAAAGAGCCATGGGCAGAGAGAACTACGGGAGAGGCAACCAAGGAGCTGGGTCTGGAGGGGACGCTGCTCTGCTCCAGAGCCGTACAGAATAGGGCCGAGCCTGGGGAGGGGTGAGCCCACGAAGGGGCTGGGGAAAAGGCCCGGAGACAGGCTGAGGTGGGAAGTGGCCCAGGGAGGCTGCCAGCAGATCTGAGCTTCAGAAGGTGGTGTGAAAGGTCCCTGATCCGAGCGGCGTACGGACTGTTGGGCCCAGAGTCGGGCTGAAGACCTGGACTATTGTTTGGGCGACTCTCTGTTACCCGGGACAGGGAGACTACAAGTGAGTCATGAGGAGGGCCAGAGTAGCTGTGGGTGGGCTGGACAGACCCTGCTATGTCACCCCAGTCACACGGGGCATTGGGAGGGTAAAGAGGGCTATCCCTTTGGTCCCCAGAGCTGATGAAAGTTCAGGGTCCTCAGGGCTGTTCCAGTTGGGAGGAGAAACTGAGGCAGGAGGCTGGTACCTGTGGCACAATCCTCTTTATTTACAAAGAACGTACAAAGCCGTGTACAAAGCCCAGGAGGCACCAAACAGCAGGACACGGCTGCCGTGCTCCCAGCACCAGCGCTCCGACCCCAAACCTCTCCAGGCTTCTCCCATAGAAGATCAGGGTTGGAAGGGACCTCAAGAGGTCATCTAGTCCAACCCCCTGCTCAGGGCAGGACCAACCCCCAATTTTTGTCAAGATCCCTAAATGGCCCCCTCAAGGATTGAACTCACAACCCTGGGTTTAGCAGGCCAATGCTCAAACCACTGAGCTATGCCTCCCACACTCCAGTTCTGCAGGCTGTGGCTGCTTTTTCCTACTCGCCGGCCCCCTCCCTCTTTGTGTGTCTGGCTCCTTGTGCTGTCTGACCCTCTCCGCCTTCCGCTCCCGCCCAGACACGCTGAGTCAGCAAACACCCCTCTGCCCAGTTGTGCCTCGATCCTGGGAACTGTATCATTTCATACATGTCACCTGACGGAAAGGTGACTGTTAACCTCAGCAGTTTCATGGGGTTAACCCAAACCATAATGATCCTCTTAAAGATTGTGGGGCACTCAGATACTATGGGAAAGGGGCCAGCTAAGTACCTCTGATGGATTTCTGTGTATGGCTCCCAGGGAAGGGCTCAGCCGTGCCCTCTAGCCCAAGGCTCCGGTTGGAAGCAATGCCAATGCGGAGATCCTGCCTCAGGGAGCCCCAAGCCCTCCCAGAGCAGAGGGGGAGATGCCCTTTTGGAGCACCCGGCTTGTGCTCCCCAGGCTGGTGTGGAAGGGTGATGGGGACTGGTCCCTCACCCGCCCTGTGCTAAGGCTCCAGCAGAGCTATGCTAACAAGAAATGGGAACAGGAGTTTCTGACATTAGCCCCGTTATCAGGGTCGATATCCCTGACACTGATGGCCAGTATCATGGTTGCCCCCCTGGGGTGTCTGGTGGCCCCCGGGGTAAGAATGGGTGCTGTGCAGATGTGTGAGAGGAACAGGAAGCTTCTTCAATACTGCAAACCCCAAGTGCTCAAAAATCATGAGTCAGGGCCCCTAAAATCATGCCTGGCCTACGAAGCATGAGACTGCTTCTCAAAACACACCCTGGGGCTTATTTGGTTTCTGCTTTTTGAGCCTTTAGAGTTTGCCTTTTCAGTCTCGGGAACTAGAAACTGACTTTCTTTTTTTAAATGAAAGCTGAGTGTCTCACATGATCACCTGACTCCAGGAGCTGGGGCTTGGAGAAAGACAGCAACTATTGCTGGAGCTGGCAATGCTGCTTCTTGCCTCCTTCGGGCTTACATGAGACTCTAGAAGAACACAGGCCCTGAGCTGGCTCTGTTTGAGAGCAGCAGAGCAGGGATGTAACATCAATCAACTGTCACTAAAAACCTGGGGAGCCTTGGTGGGCAACAAGTTCTTAGTACAGGGTATAGCTCAGTGGCTGGCAGCCTTCAGTTCATGTCTTCAGATGCTCATGACTGTCCCTTGCAAGCCAGCCCCCTTGCCTACACCTCCCAGTACAGCCTGCCCCATGACTCCTGGAGTCACTAACCAGGACTCCTGGAGCCCTGCCTGGAGCAGAGGAGATGCTCAGTTACACAGTGTGGGCACTAGTCAGTGTCTTTATTTTTAGACTGTGATTTCCAAAGGCACCTAGAGGAGTTGGGTGCCTCAATCTCATTGACAGTTAATGGGAGTTGGGCCCTCCTCTGGGCTCCTTTCCAAGTCTCAGACTTAATCCTTACAGTGAAAGAGCCAGTTTTGCTGCGTGGCGTGTGTGTGACTTGAAGCAGACACAATCTAGCCTTGTACAAATGTGTCTGCTTTCCTGAGACAGGCTCCTCCAACGGGGAGGGTCCCAGTGCCCAGGCTCCAGCCTGAGCCTGGATGTCTACACTGCAGTTTTATACCTCCACAAGCCCAAGTCAGCTGACCCGGGCCAGCCACTGGTGTCTATTGCAGTGCAGACATACACTGAAAGAGCTCCAGCTGTTTGGCTCAGCAAAAAGATTGAAAGGTGACTCGATTCCAAGGTACCAGTACCTCCCTGGAGGGGAAATATTGGGCACTTATAGGGCTCTTGAATCTAGCAGAAAAAAAAATCACAAGAAGAACCAGTGGTGAGCAGCTGAAGCCAGATTGTCACAAGCTGACTATGATGGAGTCGCCCTTGTAATGACTGACCCCAGCTGCAGGGGATCAGAGCGCTGGCTGTTTAACCAGAGCTGTGAACTCGGTCTCACTCCAAACTCACAAATCTGGGCGACTGGGCAACAAACGGCAGGTGACAGTCAAGGCTGATAAATGTCAAGTGATGCACACTGGAAAACATCATCCCAACGATACATATAAACTGATGGGGTCTAAATTAGCTGTTACCACTCAAGAAGGAGATCTTGGAGGCATTGTGGATAGTTCTCTGCAAACATCCACTCAATGTGCAGCGGCAGTCGAAAAAGCAAACAGAATGCTGGGAATCATTAGGAAAGGGATAGATAATAGGACAGTAAATAACATAATGCCTCTATATAAATCCATGGTACGCCCACACCTGGAATACTGCGTGCAGTTCTGGTCGCACCATCTCAAAAAATATAAATTAGAATTGGGGGAAAGTACAGAAAAGGGCAAAAAAATGATTAGGTCTGGTATGGAACAGCTTCCATATGAGGAGAGATTAATAAGACTGGGACTTTTCAACTGAGAAAAGAGATGACTAAGGGGGATATGCTAGAGGTCTATAAAATCATGAGTGATGTGGAGAAAGTGAATAAGGAAGCGTTATTTACCCCTTCACATAACACAAGAACCAGGGTTTATCCAATGAAATTAACAGCCAGCTGGTTTACAACAAACAGAGGGAAGTATTTCTTCACACAATGCACAGTTAACCTGTGGAGCTCGTTGCCAGGGGATGTTGTGAAGGCCAAAAGTATAACTGGCTTCAAAAAAGAACTAGATAAGTTCAGGGAAGATCAGTCCATCAATGGCTATTTGCCAGGATGCTCAGGGATGCAGTCCTATGCTCTGTGTGTCCCTAAGCCTCTGACAAGGGGACAGATGCTGGGACTGGACGACAGGGGATGGATCACTTGATAATTGCCCTCTTCCGTTCATTCCCTCTGAAGCACCTGGCATTGGCCACTGTCAGAAGACAGGATACTGGGCAGATGGACCTTCGGTCTGACCCAGTCTGGCCATTCTTATGTTCTGGGGAATGCCCTTTCTGAGTAGGGCCTGGGGGAGCGAGGCTGGATCAAGGAAGGCTCCCGAGCGAGAGCACGGAGCTAGGATTTACAAGGAGCAGGGAGATCCCTGTGGGAAGCTGCCAGAGTCCTGGGGCGGGAGACAGTGGGGGGAATGTCCCGCATTACACAGACATATTCAAATTAGAAATAAGACCACAGGGAGGGCGACTAACCATTCCAACAAACTCCCAAGGGAAGCAGCAGCTTGTCCATCTCTCCATGTCTTCAGATCCTCACTGGTGGCCTGGTTGCAGGGCCAGGGCCAGTTGCTGGGCTCAGGATGGGGGGAATTGGGTGAAATTCTCTGGCTTGTGCGACACAGGAGGCCAGACTAGATGATCTCCTAGCCCTAGGAACTCTGAATCTGTGACCTGCCTGGGAAAGACAGCAGCATGCATCATGAGCAATAGCACCAAAAAAGAGCGATAAGGCTTAAGTTAATGGGACCCCTGACTCACAGCCAAGGGGGGTGTGGGCCTATCTCTGGGGCATCTTCTTTCAACACTTCTGCTGCTTTACTCTCACTGTTCATCCAGGGGGAAATTGGCCTCGTACAGACGGCCCAGACAAGCCCTATGTGCTCAGGTGGGAGTTCCTGGGGCTGGTGAATTTCACCCTGTGAACCTGACAGTAAACTGACGGTGGGGCTGCACTGCAGTAGGTGGGCTCGTCAGACTATGCTGGTTCCTGGTCTGGCCTGAGGCTGCGGATCAGAGCAGCAACAGGCTGCACGCTGGTTCTTAGGTTTATGAGGGACTACTTTTTTACAAAACATGGAAGAACAATTAACAGAAACCAGTTCTTATATCCTCTGTATAAATAGTTCTCCCAGGGGGTTGGCAAAGGAGTCCGTTTCCCTGCTGCCTGCCCTCTTTGCTCCAGAATCTAAGCTTTCATTTAAAAACAAGTCTCTGGCCCTTATAGTGGAGTAGAAAAGCATCCAGTTGTGACCCTGAGTCCTCAGAGAGCCTGAAACAACAACTCTGAGAGAAGCGTCAATGGTTCTATTTACGCTGGTGGGTGTTAACTCTGAAGCCTAATGGTGACCATTTAATTGTCAGCATTATTAACTATTTCTCTGCCAAAAACCTATGTGAGGAAGAGGAGAGGAAAACCTATTATGGAGGCCTGCCCACCTGCTGTGAGCGGTGCCTCTTACAAAAGAGCTGAGCCTGGATTGTTGGTCCAGTTTGAGTTGAGGGCGGAGCTTCTGCTTTGATCCCCATCTCGCGGGAGGACAATAGAAGGCTGTGCCAGCCAGAGCTGAGCCTCCACATTCTCACCGACAGCTGCTGAATCTGTTGCGTTCAGGACACACCCCACTTGTCCTTTATCTCTGTGTAAAATGTACATCTACAGTGGCAGGCGCATGGTCTGGGACTTATTGCAGCCACACGCACAGCCTCTCCTTGCACTGCAGGTGGGTAACGAAAGAGCTGTCCTGTCTAGAAACAGCCACAGCCTGGAGAGACAATCCAGGGGGGTTGCTAACTCCCAGTGCTTTATTTCTCACCGTTCCTTCCTCATCTAGGAACCGGCGGTAGAAGGGGAACCTCTCTCCTTATGCTCTGTATTCAAAATAGCTGTCTCTGACTTCTCTCTCCTGGGAGGTCACCCTCTTCCCTGAGGGGAAGGTTTGGTACGTCCGCAGATTCTCTGGAGACACGCGGAATAAATGCCATTGGGTCTTCGCACTCAGAGGCGGGCTGAGGAGAAGCAGAAGAGCAGAACGTGGGTTACATGGCTGGGGATCAGCCCCCGAAAGCTCAGCCCTGCCCCAGATGTGTCCCATGGGAGAGGAAGGGTGAGCAGGGGAGACATGGAGCCTTGCACAAGTGAGTTCACCGGGGTGCGTACATGCTCACTGGTGTAAATAACGATTGCACAGTCTGGCCCTAACTGCAAAAATGCTTAGGCGGGTTGGAAAGGGAAATCCAGTTGGCTATCGCAGCTGGAGTCCCATGGATCTTCTCAAGCGCTCTTGGATCACACTTGGTGGAGGACCAGTGTGTGTGTGTGTGTGTGTGTAACAGCAGGTGGTAAATTATGTGTGTATCTGCTTGCACAAACACACCCATACAGCCCTGAGTATCCTCCCATTTAATTCTACTCAGAGATGGCATGCAGCGCTCACTCGGGTGTTGGCCCTAGCCCCCCTTCCATCTACACACACAGCCCTCTCCATCCGGTCCTTTCAACCAGGGCTAGCTCGGGGGGTGCGTTAGAGCCCCGGGGGCTGCTTTCACTGAAGCTGGCAACCCACCCACTCAAACGCTGCCAGTCCTCCAGTGCCTCCCCCCATGCAGCCTGGGTGCCCAGAAGGACAGACAAATTCTCCCACAGGTCCCTAGGAAAGAATCACAGAGCGGCTCAGCTTCCTGCGCGCAAAGACCCATGGGATGTGCCCTGCCGGAGAGCCTGCAACGCACATGGGATGCGGGGGGCCAGTGAGGACACAGTAACTCAGGTCAGGCTTTGCAGTGCGGCTGGTGTGAAGACACGGGACAATTCACACTCTCCAAGGGCAACATACATGTTGAAGGGGCTGAAAATCAGCCCAGCCTAGTCTTCATCTTGATTCCTTTAGGCTTGTCTACATGGCAAGTTACAGTGCTGCCAGACAGGATGTGAATCTGCAGTGCACCTGACCATCAAGGTATCCCCTTCTGGGCTCTAACCCAGGGGCACCATTTCAGATTTTTTGGGGCGGACTTTAATCGTGATTCCAAAGGCTACTTAGGCACCTGAAAACTCTTGGTTTTTTTGCAGATAATAACTTAGATACAGTGCTCCTGTCAGATAATAATTTCTAATTCCTCTATAAAGAAAGAAAATTAAATAAATATTAGACCCACTTAGCTCTAATACTTGTTGTGTCAATTCACTTAAGGGACACTGGTTAGGTTTAAAAAATTAATGTATATTCTTACTTTGTTACTAGACGGGATGTTGGAGCACAGAGAGTTATTGCATGTGACTTTTGGAGACTTTACAGTCTGGTGGGGTCTGATTTTTGGAACTAAAAGATACTTGAGGCAGGCAATACAATGAACATTATCATGGCTCTGAACTAGCTTGCACATTTAACATGTTAGGAACCTGCATGCTAATAATGGTCTTGCTTCATAGTGACAAGGTGTGGGAGGTAATATCTTTTATTGGACCAACTTTGGAGGGTGAGAGAGACAAGCTTTCGAGCCACACAGAGCTCTTCCTCGGGTCTGGGAAAGGTACTGCGAGTGTCAGCTAAATACAAGGTGGAACGGATGGTTTAGCATAAGTAGTAAGCACATGTTGTAAGGGACCATTCAAGGTAGAGTATGTCATAGTAACATTGTATTTCTAAATGGCTACTAAAGGGTTAATAAATGATCAATAGACATTATAGAAGCAGTGCATGTTATAGATGGTACTAAGCAATCTGTTGATGCCCTGATAGAGGTCTATAAAATCATGAGTGGTGTGAAGAAAGTACACAGGGAAGTGTTATTTACTCCTTCTCGTAACACAAGAACTAGGGGTCACTAAATGACATTAATAGGGAGCAGGTTTAATACAAACAAAAGGCAGTATTTCTTCACACAACGCACAGTCAACCTGTGGAACTCCTTGCCGGAGGATGTTGTGAAAGCCAAGCCTATAACAGGGTTCAAAAAAGAACTAGATAAGTTCATGAAGGGTAGGTCCATCAATGGCTATTAGCCAGGCTGGGCAGGGATGGTGTCCCTAGCCTCTGTTTGCCAGAAGGTGGGAATGGGCGACAGGGGATGGATCATTTGATGATTCCCTGTTCTGTTCATTCCCTCTGGGACACCTGGCATTGGCCACTGTCAGAAGACAGGATACTGGGCTAGATGGACCTTTGGTCTGACCCAGTATGGCCGTCCTTATGTTCTTATGACCTGCCAGGCTTCATAACAATTAATTGGAGGGATGAACAAAGGCCTAAGGAGTGGCTTGATCACAGTCTATAAGTACCTACATTGGGAACCGAATTTTGACAGTTGAGGGCTCTGGAATCTAACAGACAAAGGTTTATCAAGATCCAGTGACTGGAAGTTGAAGCTAGACAGGTTCAGACAGGAACTAAGGGGCATTTTTAACAGTGAGGGTGATTAACAATTCCAAGGGTCGTGGTGGATTCTCCATCACTGGCAATTATTAAATCAAAACTGGATGTTTTCCTAAAAGATCTGCTCTGGTTCAAGCAAGAATTAATACCGGGAAATCCTGGGGTCTGTGTTATTCAGGAGGCCAGACCAGATAATCACAGTGATCCCTTCTGGCTTTATAATCTATGCCCCGTTTATTAAAACATCTATTAATCATTTATCAGCACTTCATAAACTATTTATAAATGAAGCCTTAATCCAAAGCACGGCTGTAACGGCTCCGTGACTCAATGATCAGATGACCGAACCACATGTCTCTAAAACATCCTGGTTCCAGCAGATGTTTGCTTCCATCCGTGTTAAGGCCAAAAGGAACCGTTAGCTCAGGGGGGCCAACCTGGGGCTCCGGAGCCCCATGTGGCTCTTCAGACGTTAACATGCGGCTCCGTATCTAGGCACCGACTCCGGGGCTGGACTACAGGCGCCAACTTCCCAGTGTGTCGGGGGGTGCTCACGGCTGAACCCCCCCCCGGCTCTGCCACAGGCCCTGCCCCCACTCCACCCCTTCCCGCACCCTCCCCTGAGCTGGCCGTGCCCTCACTCCCCCACCCCACCAGAGCCTCCTGCACGCTGCAAAACAGCTGATTGCGGTGGGCGTGAGGAGGGAGGGGGAGGCGCTGATCGGCAGGGCTGCCGGTGGGCGGGAGGCGCTGGGGGCTGGAGGGGAGGAGCGGATGGGGGGCTGCTGATGTATTACTGGGGCTCTTTGGCAATGTTCACTGGTAAATTCTGGCTCCTTCTCAGGCTTAGGTTGGCCACCCCTGTGTTAGCTCATCTAGCCTGACCTTGTTCCTTTCAGCTGGACTCACGCAGGGACATGGTTTGATAACCATTGATAAGGGGCTTGGTACGCGACACGCAGAGCTCAGCCCCTCTGCAAATGAGGCCCTCTTACTTCAGAGCCTAAACATGTATGTAGAACCCTGTGTTTGCCCTGTACTACTATATTTGCCTTTTGACACAATGCCGCAAGCCGCAATGAAGGGTGGTCTTTCAGTCTTATTCCTTGCTCTTCAGGCATTGACATCAGGGGCCAGACCCTCAACTAAAGTGTAAATCAGGGCAACTTCATTGAGTTCAATGGCATGCGGCTGATCTACACCAGCTGGGGAGCTGGCCCAGGGAGCACTTCTCCGAGGAAGAAAGCATCAGCCACAGAAAGAGAACTGTCTATTTCTTTCCATGTCTGTATTTGCAGCGTACAGTTCCCACCATCACAACACACTCGACAGCAGCACAGGGAAAGGGCAAACACAGGAGCAAGCCAGCCAGGAGGGAATTCAACCGCACAACCCAAAATGAGAGGGTAACCCGAAGGATTAGAATAAATTCAGCACATTCGGCTGTCAGAAAACATCCAGTTCAAAGAACGGTTTGTGATCCAGACTGAACATTTAGAAACTTAGGAATAGCAAGACTGGGGTTGAGCAATGGGTCATCTACTTCTGACTCCCTGGTCCTGCCACACTGGGGCAGAGCAATGGGCCACCCTTTGCTTGCACTTCCCAAATCAGTCCAGTGTTCCAGCAGTGGCCTCTATCAGATGCTTCAGAAGAAGACATACGTCCCTCACAAGATGCACCTGGCTGATAGTGCAATACCTTCCCATGACAGGTGTGCGTGTGTGCAATACCTTCCCATGACGGGTGTGCGTGTGTGTGTGCGCACCACATCAAAACCCACAAACACTATAGTAATCCATCCCTTGGGAGGGGCAGGGTCAGATGGCATTCAAGGGGCAAAATCGTTATCAAAGCCCTAAACTGCTAATACCATTTGCAATAAGCATGTGTGTTAATTTTAATGTGTGCTACGTTTATCATTAGTCTAACCAGGCCCCAACATTACACTTCAATGTGCATAGGACAAAAATCCTACAATGCCCTTCTCATCCGCTGGAAGGGGCTTATGGGTCAGAGTGGGTGAGCAACTCAGCATGAGCTCCCCACCCGAATGCCAGCCTTGCAGTAGGGAGCAGGAGTCGGGTGGTGATTTTACCTCTAAATGTAGCATTGGTGAGACCAATATTGGAATCCTGCCTTCACTTCTGGCGGCCATGGTTTTAAAATGATGCTGGAAACCTGGCCAGGGGGGCAGAAAATGCCTCCCTGTGGGAGACTTCCAGAGCTCCTTCTGTTTAGCTTCTCAGAAAGATTCAATGGTGACAGGATTATGGGGAACGAGGAGGATCCGGGGAACTACAGGCCGGTCAGCCTCACCTCAGTCCCTAGAAAAATCCTGGTGCAGATCCTCAAGGAATCCATTCTGAAGCACTTAAAGGAGAGGAAAGTGATCAGGAACAGTCAGCATGGATTCATCAAGGGCAAGTCATGCCTGACTAATCTAATTGCCTTCTATGATGAGATAACTGGCTCTGTGGATGAAGGGAAAGCAGTGGACATGTTGTTCCTTGACTTTAGCAAAGCTTTTGACACGGCCTCCCATAGTATTCTTGCCAGCAAGTTAAAGAAGTATGGGCTGGATGAATGGACAATAAAGTGGATAGAAAGCTGGCTAGATTGTCGGGCTCAACG